GTAAATATTTCTAAGGCCCTTTTGGCTCCTTCTTCTTGGTTCGCAATTTAATTTTATATACACCGATAATATAAATAATTTTTATTTTTTTGCAGTTGAGTATGATAATCAACGAGTCGTTACGACTATATCCACCAGCGACTGTACTACCAAGAATGGCATTTGAGGATTTCAAATTAGGTGATCTTAATATACCCAAAGGATTATCAATATGGATTCCAGTACTTGCCATACATCACAGTGAAGAAATTTGGGGAAAAGATGCAAATGAATTTAGGCCTGATCGTTTTGCCTCTAAGCCCTTTTCTGCTGGACGGAATTTTCTTCCGTTCGCCGCCGGTCCTCGGAATTGTGTTGGACAATCATTTGCCCTAATGGAAGCTAAGATTATATTAGCAATGTTAATATCGAAATTTCGATTCACTATTTCAGAGAATTATCGTCATGCACCTGTAATTGTCCTCACTATTAAGCCTAAATATGGGGTTCAAGTCAAATTAACACCTTTGACTACTTAGAGAAATTAATTTTTGGTCATTAGAGGATTACTTTTCCTCTTTTTGCCGAAATATTTTTTTCTTAAGAAGAGCTTTTGAGGAGGAAGTTGGAGAATAGCACTACTGATATGAGCATGTAATATAATATCGAACTGAGATGAGTTTAAATGAACTGATACATTCAGTAATGATTTATGTATACAGAAAATTCATCTCAAATTATTAGAACTTGAAGCATATAAGTGTTATTATATTATTTTTTTTTGTTTTGTCTTTTGGTAATTTAAGTAGGCTACTTGGGATTTTGATTATAAAGTTAAATGAAGATATCTTGGACTATGGCTTTTTTTTAGGTTGATTACTTATCAATTAATTGAGTGGGTTCAGAAAAAGATGGTTTTAGATATTAGTGATTAGAATAAGAAGTCCAGACATGGAAGATATGATTAAGTTGATGTGTCTTTTTTTTTCCTTTAAAGATAAACAAACACCTAGAAATATATTTAATTAAGTGATCACGACACAAAATTAGTTTATTATTGTTAAAAAGGTTTTCCTCTTTCCTTTGATACCTTCATAACCTTTATTAAGATTGATCATATATGATTTTTTCTTTTTGCCCAACTCAATTGGTTTAACATAGTGCTACTTTTCGAGTTAGAAAATTAATGATCAACTAAAATTATTTTTTAAAAACAAAATGCCATAGGGTTGAAAAAACAAAAAGCTTTGTAAGACTCTTCTTCATCTATAAAATTGCACGTTTGCTTTTCAACTGGATCAGTGTATTTTTAATGGTTATTTTTTAAATAAATTACTACTTAATATTTTATCTTTTTCTTTTATTTTTAGCAAAAATCAGACTTATGCCTAATAAGTCACAAATTTATTAGAAATTGTTATCATGCTTGAATCATAATTTTATAGGATATTATATGGGCAACTTTCACATATAGCAAACACAAAATTTATATTTGTATGCTATAGCAGAGTTTGCATAATTGCGCTCCATAACAAACATATATGTGTATAATTAACTATATATATATATATATATATATACT